CGCCAAATCATCAAAAATTGACCAAGATCCCCTTCAGGCTTAAGGACGAGGCATTGTCAATCTTCGTTTATGCTGAACAAAATTGACTTTCGGCCGCAAACACTTGTGACTGCCCCGCCATTCTGCTCAGATCTGTTATACGGGGTCCACAACTCGAACCCACATGTTGTACGCTCCTTTAGGAATTTTGACTTTCTTGACTTAAAGAACGTTTTTCGGTCATTTTTACAGCCAGGCACATCAAAATTTTGTGACAATTTTCACACAATACTTTTTTGGTCACCTCACACAGTACTTTGAAACAAAAATTGTCTCTAATTTCCGAAATATTCCATCATTTTAGCAAGCGTGTGTGTGTGTGTGTTGCTTTGAATTTACAGCAGTTCCCAATAGAACTTTGCCAACGGAATTATGGATGGAAACAATTTCCACAGCAATGACTGTTCAGAATCAAAAACGAACTTGTAATATTTTTTTTAGATTCAAGATAAGGTATAAAACGAGATAAAAAAGACACTTTTGAGCTTTTGAATACCGTAAGTGGAGTGTCGTCTTTGAAAGCACGATTTTCCACAGTGGCATGGAAAAATACAGTACATTTCGGACGCAGAACAATGTTAAAGATGCAGGTGTGCTTAAATTTTGACAACAGGTACTTAAATATATGATATTAATGATGTAAAAAAGGTTGCACGTGATCTATCATTCACCAATTTTCACAGTTGGCGCAGCAGCCTCTTTACATTTCTTCACATGGACAACTAAAAGGAAGAAATGCTACTCAGAGAAATTTCCCACTTGTAAATTCAGTTGTGTGCTTTATCTAGCAGGCGAGATGCCCTCTTTTTGTCTTGTAATTCCACTGCTAATAAATTCAAGCATTCAGGCAAAGTTATAATGTTCATATTCTTCTAAATCGACACTGAATATGCCATTGGTTAACTGCTGTTCAAGTGAAAACAACAAAATATGTTAGATTTATAGTGCATTTCATTTCATAAAGCCTCACACAACATCGCCATTCATTATTAATGATTGCACAGCTGATATAAAGGAGACGCAGTTAATCGGTTACAAGTCTGATTTGTTGCATGAATCCTGGAGAGTTTGGAGGCGTTTGTCTAATATTTTGGGGATGATTTTAACAAACAAATGGAACCAGAAAGAGAAAAAAATCACCCGTAAGATTATCTAGATAGAAAAGTTTTAAAGGAGGGGGTGGGGGGATGTCTGACATTACCATTCTTGCGTTGATTTCTAATGTTGACTGGGAACTCGCATATTCTTACTTGGATCAGGTCAATGCATGATAGCCCCTACGAGTTATTATATTCACAGCCAGTTGCATTTGCCTGTACATCATCGACTTTATCTGATTTATCTATTTTCACTCTCTGATAAACAATTCCATATTCGCCGAAAATCATATCAGTTTGAGGTGGGCGATAATGGTGGCAATGACATGCATCGTATAGCATAAATATTACACACACACACACACACACACACACACACACACACAAAAGCACCCCGAGTTTCAGATGTAGAACCTATTTGTTCTATGCTTAACAAAGCCTAATATGCATTTACCAATTGATGGGTGTATGTTAGGTAGAGGAGAGTCCTCTGAAAATTCGGTCGTGTTCCCAGTATAGTTGGGTCGTTACAGTTTGGTGCAACCCATCTCAGCAGGCGGTATGATTTACAGACCACAAGAAGGCTATCTACAGGAAACGTGACTTGCATCGCTGAAAATTGCGGCGCCGGTGTCAGGAATGATATTCCGCTAGGAAGAGTAGTTCGCTCCCCATCACTTTGTATATGTGACATTCGTCCCATATAGGCCTACTAACCCCAAAAATCCGACTAACCCTCACCTGTAGGCCTACGAATCATAAGGCGCCTGGATGTCCATTGCTAGGACTACCATTCCTGCCACACCGAAACAACAGATCGGGGGTCTAGATTTGTCTACCGGTTAAGGAAAATGCTCTCGTATGATACATTTAGAACCCCTCAATGGTAATTATTTTAAAAAAGTTCTTTAGAAACTCAGGGTGCTAAACGCATGGTCGATAGAGGGAGCCACTGCTGCGCACCCTGAGCTTCGGGGGACACTGGGAACTCGCCTATCTTCTATCAGCATGGGCGTAGTTTTATTAACACTAGAAAGCACTATCCTGTGGATAACACTATCCACTGGATAAAATTGTTATTCTCTGGGCAGTTGTCCTGAGGACTGCCATTTTAGCCACTGGATATCAACATCAAAAACTAAAGTAAGAATCTAGCATTTAGGAAATATTACCTCACCCACAGGATAACTAACCAGAGGATAATAATTTCATCCAATGGATAATGTTATCCATAGGATAGAGTTATCGAGTGTTGATGAAACTGGTATATGGTATCTGGGAACGACAGAGGCATGGTGATAGTGGAGAGGTCAGTTTCCCTTGTCCTTTGAAACCCAGGGTGGTACTTTGAAAGTAGGCTGTGAATGGCAACTGGTCACCATAAGGATTTCAGTACTGAGTACTTTTCATGGAAACGTGAGCTAAGAACCGTTTGTCACTATGGTGATTATATTAAAGAGTAAGATGACGATAACCACAGGCTGTGTACAGTGTCTATTGGCTTTGCTGTGTTTTTCCCAAGTGGAATCACACAACAATGCCCAGTCAGTTGCCGCACGCACACTTAACGGCTACATCGCCTCCAGTAAGTTCCGGAAGGCTGACTCTTTGGGGACATCTACCAGTAAGGACATTTATGTGAACCTTGGTCCGGTGGACAAACCATCACAATGGACTGCCCCTGGCGGCTCAGCGCCCATGGGGGTCGATGCCCCGGCGAAAACTCTCGCCGTAGGTATGATATGGGGAGGGTCACCGCCGAAAACCTTTGTGAGTGAAGATGTAACATTGCGCGGCGTGGATTGTATCATACTGCAGTTAAATGCATTATTTGAGCTTCCATATACCGACAGAAAGGCAAGTTGTCTGTTTTGCTTTTTAATTTTTTTCTTTGTTATATCGGGATTTGAAACCCAAATGTCCAATGTTGTAAAGCAATATTGTATTGTATGGATGTCTTCATGTATCATTTCCGCATACTACGTATTATTCAAATATGTCTAGATCTATTTATTTTATTCACATGTTTTTAAACATATGCCTATATTGTCTTCCTTTCCCTTATTTTCGTGTTTTTCAATTTCCTAAAATAATGGGGTGCCGGAATAAGGCCTATGGTTCAACTGTACAAGATCACTCGTCGAATATGACCATATTTCTTATCTAGAACCTGACCCGAAAAGCCCTATTCCTGTTATCAGAGGACAGCGGTGCCCGAGCCGAAGGAGAGTGTGGTAGCGAAGCACAGTTTATCACAATCATGATGTTCAACAAAGCCGTCAACTATACTTTGATCTTCTCCAACAGCAGCGATGGGGTGCGGCTGGCCAATTCCACATTGCGATATAACACTCGACGAGGAGGGATATTTCACAATGCCAAGGGTTTGTACATAATTTTTTTCACATTGTGTGCGAGTGTGTGTGCGCTTGTGTGTGCTAGTGTGTGTCTTTTGT